AGCGGGTGATGGGAGAGCAGAGCCCTGAGCCAGTGCCTGTGGGGGTGCCTCGGCATGCAGCCCCGCTTCCCCCACCCGTCTGTGCTTTTTGCTGCCGTATCCTTATTCATTATCCTTATTCATTATCCTTATTCATTATCCTTATTCATTACCGACTCGGAGCTTTGTTCCACCCCGAGCTGGGGCCGAGCCCTTCCCCGGCCGCCCCACTCACACGTCAAAGCGGAGGTTTTGCTTCTCCTCGAAGTAGTAGTCGAGGACGAACTTCCGGACGAAGTCGGGGTTCAGGGTGTTGTCGATCACCTCGGTGCGCCCGAACTGCGGGGAGAAGGGTGAGGGCAGCCCCCCCCCCGGGACCCCTCCCCATCGCAGCTGCCCGGGCGCTAATCCCAGCGGGGGGATTAGCGCTGCCGGCGGGGCCAGATCATTAGCGTGGACGCGGAGGGATCATTAGCGTGGACGTGGGTGGCCATATGGGCCCATTTAACCCCGCCGGGGATTAGCCAGGAATGGGGGCGCTGGGGGTGGCAGCACCCCCGGCACGGGGCTGGGAGCCTCCCCAGGGACCTGGCGAGAGGGGCTGCGCTCACCTCCTTCCACTCACTGCTCCCCGAGCCCTGCACAAAGAGGACCACCACTGCGGAGAGAGGAGCAGAGCTGGGCTGCCGTGCCATGCCGTGCCGCGCCCGTGCCGTGCCCCCTGCCCAGTCCCACCACCTACCTGGGTCAGATTTGGAGAAGGTGTCCATATCCAGCAGGTTCCTGGGGGGACAGAGCCAGGCGTGAGCCACCCTGGGTGCCACCCACCCGGCTCCGCAGCGGGTCCCCATGTCCTCCCCCTCCAGTCAGGGGACGGCACCACGCAGCAAGGCCATGCCAAGGCCAAGAGCCCTGGCACCCCGGGGGGACGCGCTGGCTCCCACCGCAAGGTTCAGTGGGACAGCGGAGTGAGCGGGGAGCAGCATCTCCAGCACTGACGATGATTGAACATGACAGGGAACCCATTTAGAGGATGAAACCTTCTCCCCGTGCTGCTGGTGCTGGCTCAGTGCCCGCCGCACCCCGGGAGCGTGGCTAATGGTGGGGTGCAGAAGTGAGAAGAAAGGAGACACTTAGAGCAGGGGCTGGGCAGCCGGGGGGGACCAGCTCCGTGCCCCTGATGCAGCTGCTAGCAAGAGCGATTGATCCTCGTCCTTTGCACGCTGTGACGCCGGGAAGTGCCGGGGGCTGCAACCAGCTCTGCTGGGATCCTTCCCACCCCCCCCGGGGTGGCTGCACAGGGTGGGCTGGGGCATGGCCGGAGGCTGTGGGGCTCAGCCAGCTCCGCTGGCCCCATTGTGCAGGGCTGGGAGCGCAGGGGAGAGACCCCCAGGGCTCCCCCAGCAGCCCTGGATGGGACTGAGCTCTTGGGGGGCTCCGAAGGCAAAGCTTGCCCCTGCCCCGGGCCGTCTCCAGGAGCGAGCCCCGGCCCCTGCCCCGAGATGGCA